CACAGCATCGCCCCCCCCCCCCCAACCTCCTCTGCTCCAGACTGAACATTCCCAAGTCCCTCAGTCCCTGGTTGGACAAGATGGCCTGTATGTGGCCCCTTCCAACTCTGTGATTCTATGATTCTATAAGTGGCGGTTCTTTCCTATGATCCCACTCCTGTGACGCACAAGCGCGCGCACTTTTTAAACGGACTCTTGCTATATGCCTAAACTACTATTATGCCAGGAATTGCCATCGCTCCGATCGAAACCAGCCTTTCCCGGGCACCTAGGGACGGCCTCAGCTTCACTGATGCCCGGCGTGGCGGGAATCAGCCTCGGCATCTGCGGCCAACACTGGGGTGATTGAAGCCACCCTTCGCCCATACACCATGTGCGTTCCTCTCTCCTCGGCAAGGCAACTGCGGTAGGAGAGGCAGCGCTTGGGGGCGGGCGCTTCACTGGCTCCTCCCCCGGGGGGGTGGCCACTCTGCCTTCGGGTTCCGGAGGCGGAGGCGAAGGTGGATTTCCATGGACTCGGCGGCGGTGGGGCCGGAAGCGGAGCAGGGTAGTCCGGCGTGGGGGGGCTGCCGGCCGGGAGGACGCCTGGACATGAGCCATGGATTCGTAAAGCACATCAGGCGCAACCAGATCGCCAGGTACCGGCTGTTCCGTGGGAAGAGCCTGCGAGGGAGCCGAGTTCCGACCCCCAGCCCAGATAGCCAGTTCTGGAGAAACCTCCTCCGTGGGGGGGCTGAAAAGCCCCAGTTGAGCTAATAGAAGCACATAGCTTTTATGTAGCTAGGTACAAATGAGACGCATGCGTTATTGTAGTTCCGCTCTGGAAGCCATTAAGTTTTGATCTTTACAACAACCCTGTGAGGTAGATCTGTATTATTGCATGCAGAGGGGAGGCCGAGGGAGAGACCGCCTGTTAAGGTAAGGACAGAGGCGAGATTTGAAACGGGACTTGCTGTTTGTTCACCTCTTCTCATTACAGTAGCTTTTGAGGGTTCTAGTTATCTTTTGTACCCCTTGACAGTACACTGTCTCAGTTGCCCTTACATCAGCCCTGTAGGGTAGGTCAGTATGATTACTCCCGTTGAAGAATAAGATCATCATTTTAGAGTGCATTCTTATGTATGCTTAGTTAGATGTAAAACAAATTTAGAGTCCAGTGGCCCCTTTAAGACCAACGAAGTTTTATTTATTTGTTCTACTGCTTCAGACCAAATACAGCTGACCAACTGGATCGATCTTCATAATTAGATGTGAGTTACACTAAATTCTGTGGGTTTTACTCTCAGGTAAACATGCAAATTGCAGCCCTAATAATGTAACTTGACAGCAAAAGGCTGAGCAGTTAACTGCTGATGTTCTACACCAAGGCCCCCCAACCTTTTTTTGAGCCTATAGGCACCTTTGTAATTCTGACACAGGATGTTGGGTGCATCCACAAAATGGCTGCTATTCATACAATAAATTCTTTTATAAGTCTCTGCAGGATCAGGACTAAAGGAAACAATTCTGGCCAGTCTGTAGCAGTAGGAAAAGAGCAAGAGTCCAGTACCATTTTAACGACTGTAACAAAATTTGTGGCAGGGTATGAGCACATTCATGCTTGCAATTTTGGATGAAACAGGCTGTTTAGGAAAGAGAGACACTGCATGCAGGTTAGGCAATCAAAGAAATTCCTCCATCATTTGAATAATTGAGAATTCACACAATTAACAGGGGGAAAGCTGTAAGCAGGAACACTTTCTCAGCTGTGTGTCACTGCTCAATCTCTCCAAAGTGTCCCATTAAAAGACTTCTTGTCCTTTCATTTCCTTTCCAGGGATGACTACGACAAGGAGATGAAGCAAGCCAAGGAAAAGGTGAAGAAGAGGCACACGCCAGCCCCTGCCCGACCCAAAAAACCAGATCAGCAGGTCTATCATCCCCGTCAAAGAAGTGAGTTCAATCAACCATGTCTTGTCCAGCTTATTGTGTTTTAGTTCCTGAGTGGCAGTTTTCTTGAGAAAAGGAGAACAATGGTCCCAGTCACACGGGCCGTAAAATGCCGGGGGGGGGGGAGCGTGGCAGTTTGGCTCAGAGCAAAATAACGCGCGGCAGCCCAATCACAGGTCCCGTCGAGGTCCCGTGGGTAGGGGCAAGGTGGCAATCACATGATGATCCTGCAGCGCGGCAAAGAAGCGGCACGATCTCACCAACGGCATGCGCGATTCTGCGGAGCAACGGAACTTTCGCTTTCTTCTTCGTGCGCATGCGCCGTTGGGTGCTTGTGCGCATCCTGTGGAGACTTGGGGGGGGGAACCTGTTTGCGACGGGACATGGGCAGGCGCCGGATGCCACGGACTACCACCGGAAACGCGATCAGACGCCAGCCCTTGCCCCGCGGTTTCCGGAAACTAGTACCTCGGAGGTACTAGTTTTTAACTCCACATCTTCGGTGGGAAGCCTCGGGTTCGCCATGGGAGCTCTACACTTCCCAGATGTTGCGGTGTGATCACGCCCGGAAAATCTGCCTATCATCCGTCTCAGTAGCATGGCTAATGCTCCGTGTGACCACAGCCAATGTTTATTTCCAGGGCCTGATTATGCTAAGTACTTTCAAATTATTTGACTCCTTACTGCAGAATATTTTAATTCCAAAGCAGGTTGCTGTGGCCAGTATTAAAACAGACTGAGGCCCTGGTCACACGGGCCGGATAATACGGGGGGGAGGCGGGGCTTTTTGCGCTGCCGCAATTAGAGCCACCATAACGCGATCCCACGTGTTGGTGGTACACCATGGTTCCTTCCCTCCGTGCCTACGTATCAACGGGGGGCTGGAGGGAAAAGCCGCGGCTGGCGCGATCACACCAAGGGACTCCGGAGGCAGCCCGTGGCAAACCGGTTGCTAGTACCTTCGAGCAGGTAGTTTTTGGCCCCGGTCACATGGGAGGTTTAGCCCCGCAAGAGGGATGGATTGGGGGTGCAGCAAACGGCCTTGATCACACCGCAACATCTGGGAAGCAGCGCCCACCTGTCCCCGATCCGTCCCTGAAAGCTGATAACGTGCAGCAAAAAAGAACCTACAAAAGAGCAGTACCTACCTGAAACGCCGCAGCAAGTGCGGCTGTGGGATCGCCGGCGCGCCTGTCTTCAGGAGCAGTCAAGGCTCCTGGCAGAAGTGCGCATGCGCACACATGTGCAGCCGGCTGCCTCGTTCTCCCTTCCGTGGCTTCCCCCTGGCATCTGATCATGCCGGGGAGCAACTGCGCAGTGGCTTGGGGGATCTGTCTGATCCCGCCGCCGCGTGTCTCTTTTGGTGCAGCTTTAAAAAGCCACACGTTGGCCGCATCATTTCCCCCCGTGTGGCCGGGGCCTTTAATTGTGCATTTTCGGCATTGCGCCACGGGTTGGCCACAGGTGCGCTCCACTTCCCAGATGTTGCGGTGTGATCGCGCCCGGATAATCCGCCATGCAATCGTCGCTCTCCCGCAGCAAATCCTCCGTGTGAACAGGGCCTGTGAATATCTTTGCCTTTGTTTACTTGCTTGATTTGTAATCTGCCTTCCCCGCTGAGACTCAAGGCAGATTACAAAATTTTTAAAAATGCAATAAAACTGGATTACACAATTAGGAAACAAGGTGATAAAAAGTATAATACCTACAAACATAATGCCAAAAAAAAAAGAACTGGGGGGAAACAGCCACTTCTCCTAGCCTTTCTTGTTCATTGCTTTCCAGATAGAGCTGAAGTCACATCTGGCCTGGAGTATGAGGGCTCCAGTGAGAGTAGCTCCAGTACTGAACTAGACCCTTATGGACCAGCACTCTTCTGCCTGGAATATGAGGCTGACAGTGGCAAGATCACCTCAGTTGTTGTGCACCAGGTACAGGGCTTCCTGGCAAGCCGGAGCAAGCCAGAGACTGGAACTCCTTCAAGAGTGCCATGGGAGGGAAGCACAATCTATGTTAGCACTCACAGAGGCCCAACATTTAGCAAGTGTTGATAAACAGGTTGCATCTCCTCTTCGTCTATTGAAAGCCGGGTGGTGTACATTGTAGAAGAAAGCAGGGATAGTGCTCATCCTGCAAAGAGTATGCTGTGGCAGGAGCCAAAATGGATCAAATATATGGCAGAGTGGGGAGAAGCACTTTGTCAGTCTTATCTTCTAAAACCTCGCACAGTGTGGGCATGGATATGAAACTGAGAAAAGACTTCTTTGGGATAGTCAGTGACCATCCTGTTGCCAGTGCCCTCTTTGTACACTGAGCTTGGTTGTTAGGGTCACAGTGTGGTGAGGGCTTCACCAATAGGTACCTGGGACACTTGTGCAGCCACATTCTGAGTTATCATGGCTTCTCTAGCTGGGAAAAGAATTACATTTTCTCAGTGATAACATATAGTGGGTTGAATGCTGAGGAAATGTGATGTTGTAGAAGTAGAGCTCGAGGGAAAATGTCTGGATCCCACACGACATGTAAGCAACAATTGTACTGATGATCCAGATAGGCCCATAGGCCTTCGTTTCCTTCAGTGGTGGAATGGGAGAGAAAATACCAACTCAGCTTCTCCCTCTACTGTCTACCTCCCAACCCTCCCTTTTCCCCTTTAAGAAAGGGTTACTTAGGAGAATCGTGCATCCAAGCTGTGTGCTAATCTGGGGACTGTCTGATTGGGAAGTGAAAAAAGGGAGGCAGTATGGGGGGAGGAGGAATCCCTGAGTTTGTTTGTTTAGTAATTTTCCTGGATGTTTCCCATCTGCTGTGTACGGCGGTGTGCCTGTTCTGTAACCATCCTTTCTCAGTGGGCCCTGTACTTCCTCCTACAGGACAATGACCCAGATGAGGTGGTAGAGAAGATCAGTGCCCAGAACCAACTGGAACCAGCTATGCGTGAGGCCCTGAAGAAGCGGGTGCAGGAGGAGCTGGAAAAACGACGGGTAAAGCGCTGAGACACAGTGGCGATGTCTGTGTTGTTTGCCTGGCTGGGAAATACTTTCTACAAAAGGGGCAGTGAACTTGTCCCACAGTGTTTGGCTTGGAGGCTTCAAGAAGGGTCAGGGAGTTAGCTGAATCTTATTACAGGCACCTGCTTCCTAGTAAGGCAGGCCTTTGTTGTCCGGGCCTGAAAGGAGTGATTGGAAGGAGCTGGGGCTGTGGGAACAGAATGTCAGCCAGAAATGGCCCAAGGACATTTTGAAAGCTGTTCAGGAAGATGTAGTCTAGCTGAAACCTTATCAGATGGCCTCGTGCAGCCCTGAGGAATGGTATCATGACCAAAGTCCTATATCATGCTAGCCCAGCATCCTTTATCCCTTCTTGTGAGTTCCCACTCTGCTGGCTTTTGAATCTCTAGATTAGATGAATTCACACCAAGACACGTTTTACATCATCCAGAGTTAAGCAGTCTATTTGGCTTTACTTTGCCATGACCTGCAGGCAGTTTTACAAACAGACTTCCCCAGACTGAGCCTGGAGGACATTGTTAGGTGAACAAGACAAAATTACAAGGCAACAGAGAAGCTTCTGTGGGGCTGTTGATGGCAGTGAGCCTGGTAGTATACATCTGGTCCAGACTGAGATTTGACCCATACATGTATATTTCTAGAGTATCCCGTTTCAAAATGCACTGGTTCGAGATCAACATCTCATTAAGACAGTGTAGCTGGCTTCTTTCTAGCATTTTATTGGCATTGGTAGGCTGTAAAACAGTTGGCTGAACTACTTCTGGCCATCAACTGAATTCTCTTTGGACTAAAAATGCTGTTGTTGCATTGTTGTGCACTAATAAATATTTTCAGAAATATGCCACATTATTGTAAATAAATGTATGAAGCTATTCCTGTCGTTCAAATCCTTTGCTGCAACTACGAGCCGCATCCTGGGATATGGATGTGTTCTGAGAGTTTGCCACACCCAAGAAAGGTATACATCTGTTTGTTTTCTATGTCCCCTTATTCCACATATCTAGTATCCATCTTGAAAAACAAATCTCCTTTGAGACTAGTCTATGATGCAGTTGAAATACTCAGAATCTAATAGGTGAAATTTACTTCCTCAAGAAGAGATTGGTCCAAACATTTTAGCTGTCAACTGACTCAGCAGGATTCAGTGTCCAAATGTACTGAAGTCAAGTAAAATAATGAAGTGCTATTTCATTCAGAATGGGTTGGTTGGTTTGTTTTTGGCATTTCTGGCTTGGGGGGGATCACAGGGAGAAGAAACAGCACTCTAAAGTTGAGAAGAGGCTTAGTGGGTGAGTCCTAGGTTGAATCCCTGAGGGTGTACAGTAAATATTTCTTTCTTATAACTTGTTTTCCCCCCCCCAACACATTTTATTGCATTACAGAAAACTTAAATGTCATTCACTAATTACTGCACTGCAACAAATCCACACCCATAGTATAAAAACAAAAGTTAGATCTGTTAATGCTGAAAGCCAGTGGTGTCTCTTTTCAGAGCTTGAAAGATCACATTTGTAGTCTTTGATTTCAGCTATGAATGGGGCAATGTTTTGTAGCGGAGGTGGTTTATTGAACACTGGATTTTCAGGAATCTACACAAGTATTCTGAAGTTGCATGAAAAAACTGTCATGCAAGATCCATCCAACCAAGGATTCTGTGTCTTCTGATGATTGGTCAGATACAAATTTCCAAAATCAAATGACTTAACATTACTCAGATACAGTTTCCAATCCATTGTTTTATCAATGAGAATCATATTTTGAGGTATGGCGATAGGCATCTTTTTGATGTGACAGAAATGTGATTGAATAACAAAAGTTACAGAAGAGGAAAAAGGACTTGGAGCAGAGAGAGTCTTGCTGTGAATCCTGGACTGAAATCTTTCAATGTAATTATCTGTGTAAGGGACTGGGAATGATTGTTTTATTACACAAAATGTATGATGAGCAATCAGAGGTTCCAGTCTTTTGTGGGGTGCAGATAAAAGTGTAACAAAGTAGGATAAATAACACCCAATCAAGGAAGAAGTAATCTGAAGCATAAGAAAATCAACATCCGTAAAGGGATATAATATGAGAGACCCAGTTAGGGTTGTTGTTTTTTTTAAGTGAGTCCTGTTGAGCTATTAGAAATTATAGTGGGTAAGGGAATCCAAGTCTCTGTTTAAGCCAGGATGACAAAGTGTTTAATTTCTTGATGATTTCAAATTCAGCACTTTAACGTTGCATATTCTCTTCAAAGGGGTTGTGGGTTGTTTTTTTTTTGGGGGGGGGTGTAGAACAGTGACTCAGTTCTGCAACAGTATGTCCAGGAAGATTTAAATGTAAATGTTTCTGATTGTTGGTTATGTCAGATTTGTGGTAATTTTTCAGTGTAGATGGGAGAATAGCATTGTTGGCACATTAAAGACATACATTAAAGAATAGCATTCTCGGCACATTAAAGACATACATACCTAAAGAAATAGGGGCGGGAGAGGGGGGAACGAGGTGCAGCTTTCCGTTGAGGCAGATAAGGCTGAGCAGCACTCTCGGCCCTTGCGCACCAGTGCGATTTGTCCCATAGGCGCTATATCATTCCGTCCGGGAGGACTGCCACGAGCGGCTTCGTCTCAAACTGCATCCCGGGTCGCGTTCCTTGGCTGCACAAAACTACACTTCCCATCTGCCTCCGCGTCTTCCTCTCAGCCCCCCTCCTCCGGTTTTGCAGGCGGGGATGTTCTGGTCACTTGGGTGGGCGGCTGGGGAAGGGGGGGCGGAGGGGCCGGCCTGGCCTCGCCTGCCTGCCTCTGACGGTCTGCCAGGGCTAGAAGGCGGCGTGCTTCGTCAGGCTCCAGCTGGGACCGGGTAAAGGAGTCCGCGGGAGACCCGACTGCCCCCGTGTCGCCCCCCTTCGAAAGCGCGGCCGCGCGGAGGGGCCCTTAGCGGCCTAAGCGCCTTCCCTCCCACGCGCTGAAGCGGCCGCGCACCCGACAAGCCCAGTGCTGAGCCACGGGGACTGGAGAGCGGTCCGTGCCCGAGGGAGGCCTTGGCAGCTTGAGCGCCCCGCTTGCAGCCCGGCGGGTTGAACTTTGCCCGGGGTGCGTCCAGGCCGGGGGAGGGCGGCGTCTGGGCGCCACTCCGCGCTTTCCACTCACTGGTTTTGGACTGCAACTTCTGAGATGGAACAGCCTGGCTGCGGGGGGG